CGAATGGGTTTGACAATGTTATTGAAGGCTGTTCATGTATTGGTTACCGCTGTTGTCTGCAAAATGCCGCGCTGTTCTGGCCAATGTGGGATGGGGGGAGGAACAGGTGCGGGAGGAGATAAGAGGGATGACAGGTGGGTGTGTTGTTTAGATTCTGTTGGCGCGGGACACGGGATGCCCTGAGGGAATGTTGTTACTGTTTTCAGTTTGCTATTTCATTTTCTCCTGTGAGCACACGGTGCCAGGTAAATCACAGTTATTTTGCATTCTCTATGCTGCTCAATAAAACCCAAGAAAAGACAAAGAAGGTGTTCTCCTCACTGTCAGCGTAGGTGCTAGCGCATAGCTGGCTAGTTAGTTGTCCCAGTATAGGACAGGGTCGGGCAGCTCCTCTCAACCGAGCTAGCGGTCGTCACAATATACACAGTATACTGCCATCACTACAATATACATGTTTTGCATACTTCTTTATTTTGCTGACAGTTTTATTCACAGGCTTTCTGCAAAATGCCACACACTTCAAATTCATGCCAACTGATATTGTTGCATCCAGTAGATGTCCTACTAGAGCAAATGAAGCTTCAAGAAGCTTTGCGCTGGAGTGAACCAATTGGATGAAAGGCTTCATTGCTTCATGAAGCTTCATCTGCCCATCACTAACTAGCTCACCACAAGTAGTTCCGTCTTTGCCTTCATACTGCCATGGAATCAGTTACATATAAGCAACAAGCTGGTTGCATATCTTTTAAACCACCTAAGTTGAATTTTTACAGTTAAAAAAATTAAGTGCACTCACCCAAAAACACCGAAGACGGACGAACAACTCACGCTAATACGCTTCAGCTGTGTAATGGCTGCATTCATGGAAACTCGATAATCCCAGTATCATGGTTGCATTAAGGGGCACTCGGACATTCCAGCTTTGAGAGTCGCAAAATTTATATTCGGTGACTTCTATACCTGTAATGCATTACTTCAAACGCTCCACTTATCTATCATACTATTACTGGGTTGTGCATATTGAACAGTCATGCTGCCAGGTTAAATAGAACAAATATGAACAAAAATAATGCACATAATAATGCTCCCTTCATGAAACACTTCAGCACTTAGTTCTAAAATGTGCTTCAGTGAAACTACAGCTGATGTTGTTGTCATTCTCTGAACCTTGTGGATTGTACCACTCCTCTGTTTCAGATTGTGTGCTCTTTCTATGTACACTAGATCAGTGTTTCTCCACTGGTGTCACCCTGGGACCCACTTTGCAACCCACTTGTCATGTCCGCAACTCACCAGTACAGGATTTCAAATAAATTAATTAAATTATAAACCTTTTTTTAAAAACATAGTCAGTACAGCCTTTGTGTCAGATTTTTCTGTCTGCATTGAGGAAATGTTACTCAAAAATAAACATAAACACAACTGCTGCATAACACAACATAAATACAACAGTCGAATAACACAACAGCAAGTGTTGGGAAAGATGTCAAGTCTGTTTTTAGTCTTGATTTATCCACAACCTCAACTTCTTTTTGAAGGCAGTGACTTTGTCAGTCTGTTCAAAGATGTGTCCTCTCCCCTGCAGACATGTTTAAAGTGTTGAGGTGCTCAAACACATTGGTACTGTTTATCTCTTCCCTACAACGATCTGCCAAAATGCAGTACAATTCTGTCTCCCAGACGCAGTTGGTATCTGTTAACTGCTGTTAACTACTTAAATATATATCACACTAAATAGTTAGACATTATGATCTTTTGAACCTTAGCTTCAAGAATTTTTTCCTAATTGAACCTTTTTAAATTTTAAAATGTTAAATTTGTACACAGTTTAAAAACTAAATTTTATGACTTGCTGGAGCAGCTCAACAGCGTCATTGCCGCCAAGCCCGCAGAGAAGGCAGTCAGATGCCAAGGTGAGCACATATTCTACAGTTTAGAAGTTTTGGTTTCGTCTTTGAGGTTGTGGTGAGCTTTTTGCTTGTGCCAAGAGTGCACACAACAAAGTTCTGTTTGTGTGTTTGCAGAAGAGGCAGAGGATCCTGCATGTATCCCCATCTTCTGGATCAGCAAATGGGTAGACTACTCCGATAAGTATGGACTAGGTAAGCATTAGACATCTGTTTACCAAATGGTCTCCTACTCTTCTAAGCCGTTGTTGTTCATCAAGCTCACATTTGATTTGGAATAACAGTCCCTGACTGGCCCACATCTGACAGCTAGATAGCAAACCTGTCCTGACATCCAGCACAGCACATGGCCATCTAAATTTGGATTTACCACTTATTTGACTCAGTTAATCATTACCTTTAGAAACATATATTAAGCTAAAAAAAAAACGAATAAAACATTCCCATTATTTATGTTAAATGATTTATGACTTACAGTGCTTCCAGTTTATCCCAGTCCACAGGATTGTGCTTTAATTCACAAACAGCATAGCATCCATCAAAACTGCAAATAATATTTTTTCCAAAAGTTTGCATTTAAAGATAAAATTTAACATTTTTTATGAATAGGAATAACATATACACCTTTTGGACAAACACTCAAACAGGTGTGGTAAATTTAAAACAGTGAACAGTTTAGCCAACAAGATTTCGTGTCTGTGTGAAATAAAGGTGATAAAGCAGAAGTTGTTGGGTATAGCATAACATCCGTCAAATTTGGTGACTGTGTGCAGCAACACCAGCTTGACCCTCATGAGCTTTCCTCCCTCCATCACGGTCAGAGGCAACTACCTGTTAATAAGATGCAACCACCTGTTAAGGCAATTTACAAATTAACATTAACACAGTGATACAAAGTGTGCCCTAAAATAGTACTGCGTGTAAATATGAAAGAGTTTGGGGTGGGACACTGAAATAGTACCAACCGGCAGCCTCAACCTCCATGCAGTGCTAGTCAGTCTATTTTGTCTTACTGCACCTTTAAATAAAACATTTCTTATTAAATGTACTATAAAATCTATTTTCTTGAATTCTCCAATAGCCAAAAAGCAAACACCCACACACATACAAACTACATTAATTTACTTGTTATAACATCCTTTAACACCATTTGCTGGAATGCAGCCTTCCCACTGATTCCTCTCCAATTGATTTTAAGTGCAAGGGGGTTTGTCATGACATTAGAATTCAAAAATTAAAATTAGAATGAATGTATGGCCAAGTATGTTACACAGAAGGAATTTGTTTACGGTTCAGTGTCTTGCCCAAGGACACTTTGACACGTGGACTGCCGGCACTGAGATTCAAACCTCCAACCTTGTGGTTGGGAGACGATTGCTCTACCCACCGCACCATGGTCGACCGCTGTTGGACTAAACCAGTCCTTGCATGTTCTTTTATGAGGAATGGTCAAAGATAAATCTGTCTTTTAAGATATTTATTACAATCAATATTTCAGAAAAAATATTCTAGAAAAGCAATTACAAAGCTCTGGGTTCCGTCTTTCTGAAACCCTACCAAACAACAGCACAACCGTTCAAATCTGCCTTCAGTGTAGAGAAACGCCTATACTCCTGCACCCAGTCTA